TGGTCTTCATCCCATTTATAGATGGCCCAGATAGATAGAAGAAGGAAGACAAACATTAATCTGACTTCACCAAAAGTGCCAAGTTTAACTAACACCTGTGGAACTCAATAGATAGAATATAGAATATAGTATTTCTTTGAAATTGTAGATTCTCTTCACCTCTTAACATCTCTTCACTCACATCTGCCTAAATCAGTCTCCCCTCCTTTACAACCTTTGGCCCATAGCCATAACTAGTACATTTCCTCCCCCCTTTAAGTTCTCTCTCTCTTTTTTTTTTTAAAGATTTATTTTGGGCCCTCCCAGGTGGCATAACAGGTTAAAGTGCAGCCTAGAAAGCTAGCTACAACCACCACTTCAGCATGAGTTCGATCCTGGGCCAGAGAGGTGACCCACATGGAGTAGCAGACTTATCCTGTCTCGCCCACTGCTCCCCTCAGCAGTGTACTTTGTCAGTCAGCCTGTTCTGCTCCCCACTCTGTCTCTGGTAAATCCTCTCACCACACCTGCATCTCTGGCCTGGACCCTAGTTCTATATGCATAAATAAATAAATATATTAAAATATTTTTACTTATTTATGCATACAAGAACTGGGGTATAGGCCAGAAGTGAGGGGTTGGTGGGGAGAGGATTCACCAGAGACAGAGTATGGAGCAGATCAGACAAATCTACTGTATACACTGCTGAGGGGAGCAGTGGGCAAGGAGAGGTCTGCTGCACCATATGGGTTAGCTCCCTGACCAGGGATCGAACTGGTGCTGCAGTGGCTGCAGATAGCTTCATAGGGCTGAGACTTAACCCTTTGCACCATCAGGAAGGCCACCCCTCTTATCCCTTACTCTTCCTTTATTTTCCCTTTGGGGCTCTGAGCCAAAATTTCAGAATTAAGTCAAAACCTTCTTCCAAATGTCATAAGTTAGAAGGACAATTTAGGGACCTCTGTGAAAATAAGCAATATACAGAGTAAATGTTAGAGCTGAAAGCATTTGACAAATGACAATTTGGGTTATCAGCCATGCATTCCATCTTTTTCTGCAGGCTTATTTTTTGTTTTATTTTCAGGATCCACTGATCCTAATAGAGGTAAGTCAGAACTTAAGTAAAAAATGAGGGCAATGTTAAAGAAATATCAAGGTAAGCACTTTGTGGAGTGACAGCCATCATATCATATGGTTTATAGTAACTTGGTTGTTCTTTCAACTTGCTGGAAACCCAGCCAGACTATCAACTTTGCAGAGTGGAAACTGTATTGACTAAATGAAAACCAGTCAGTACTTATTAGCTATAACATCAATAAAAACAATTAGCTGGAGAAACCATGTTAACAGTATGCCCTTGGCACCATCAGACATAAGTTTCTGAGAATTTCATAGCACAGGTGATTTCATTGTTTCCCTCACTACCTGACTGTTTGGAATTGCTTGTGTGGGACCTAAAGTTGTTTCTGGGAAATGTTCCTTGAATGAGTTTTCTGAGTATTTTATACCATGATTTCAAAATAACTCTGTCTCCAAAGCTTGAATGTGTCTAGTGGTGTGGGTTCTTAGTAGTCTTTACCCATGTGGAGGGTCTATAAATCAGAGTGGAGAACATACTAGCTGAGAAATGTCCAGCAGGGTGTAGGTTCCAGTTAGATACCTTGCTACCTGTGTATATGTAAGCAGTTCATGTTTGTGGTTTTCGAATTTTGAATATGTAAAGAGATAGCATTAGATCACGTCTCAGATCCATCTCAGTGTTAACTTCTATAGTTCTACAACATATTTTTGAATTTTCAATATAAAATACTCTGACCTTTAAATAAAATTTAAAATAACTACTGAAAAATATAGTGATATATCTTAGGCATTTTGGTAGAAAGGAGGTGGGGGGTTGAGGATGAGGGTAATGGATTTACCAGAGACAGAGTGGTGCATTAAATATACTGCTGAGGGGGGCAGTGGATGAAACAGGACAAGTCTACTGCACCATGTGGGTTAACTCCGTGACTAGGGATCCTAACTGGTGTTGCAGTTTACAACTGACAAATATTTGGTCTTTTCCTGGAGTAGGCCTTAAATTTGATTTGAAGAAACCAAGTTAAGAAATTTGGTACTGTTTTCCTATGTAGAAGGGAACCATTGTCTTCTATTTTACCTTCTTTTCCTTTTGAGATCCAGCTTAGAAATAATGTTTCACTCAAGGTTGTGGTTTAGGAGAGTCAGGTCTGACTTGTCTCATTTTAAGACTTCTGTCATCTCTTCTCAAAAACTGAGGGGGACCTCATTTCCTTTTTGATAGCTCCCCATGCTTTGCCAGTCACTTGGTCTTTGCCAAGAGTTCTGGGCTGAGAAAGATAGTCAGTCTGAGTTCATCATACAGAGTGATCTGGCGTCATAGTTAATAGTGACTCACCAACCTGGTTGCACTTTGTAATAGCAGGCACCACACTGTCTAAATGAAAGACCTGTGTTCTAGCAAAGTGCAGTTGAATCACGTGACGAAATCAACTCCAACTGTAGCTCTGGTCTTCTTTTTCACTGGCTGTTTTAACTAAGACAAGAGAGAAAATGATTTTCTAGATTATATTTTGTTCTTTAAAAATTAAGATTAATTAACAGATACTTGGTTTTGTGCTCATTCTGTTCTAAGAATTTAATGGTGATCACAAAACAGTGAAAATAGGTCATAGCAAAATGAACATTCAAGATTAGGGTAAAGCATTCCCTGAAATTTCTGTGTTCATTTTTAGAGTGTCAGTTACTACATTTATGTAATTCATCATTTTTTCCTTGGCGTGGAGTCAAGATGAGAAATGATATTTAGACCAAAGATGTTGTTTTGTTGGATAGTCACTGCATTTTAAAATGCAAACCAATTCTTCCCTCACCAGTGCTTGATTGTTTGTTCATGTCCAGACATGCACGAGTGTGTGAGCACACGTGCACACACACACCGCATGCAAGGGCCAGAAAAAGCCCTTTCAAGATTTCTTGGACCTACATCACTTTAAGAAGTAGATGCAAAAATTAATGGAAGATCAGAGGAATACCAAAAGTCAATAATTTCACCTTATGGATAGTAATTATATAGTATACAGGTATTTTTTAAAAATCAAGTACTGTGATAATTAAAGAAAATTATACTTCTAAATTGTCTCAAGTCTCATATAAGAGCCATTTTATTTTGTAATACAATGTCACCAAAACTCAACTAGTAGAGACTTTAACATGTGCAAAGATGTACCCTATGCAAAATTAAAATTTAATTCATAAACCATGCCACTGTGGAACATTGGTATAACTATTTGATATTAATACAGAAGAATATTCTATGTCCTTTTTAGCTTTAATATGAGTTTCTCTAAAATAAACACACATTGTAATTTTTCTTCCCAGTGTACTTTTGTTATATATAGAATATTTTACAATGTTGTTTGTAATTTCCACGTGGCTTTTATTAAGTCATTTGGTAAATGATAAAATATATAATAATAACAGACCTATCTTTTCTCTTAATTTTATTATTTCAAGTCAAGCAAAAATGGATACTTTCTCTCAGGAAAATCTGAGTGTTTTTTGATGCATAAGTGATTATTTAGTCATAGTACTTTTGACCTAACAGTTTAATACCTATTATGAATTTTATCTTAAAACTTATTATTCTCAAAGAAAAGCAGGAATGTTAGAATTTACATATAAGTTGTGTTATTTTAAAATTTTTTAATACATAGTTTAAATTCTTATCAAATACTAGTAAAGGAATTCCCAATGTTACCTGTTCCAAATGTGCAATTTTGCTGTTTGGAAAATCTTATCAATTCCAATTTCTTTAGGATAGTAGTGAAGATTAATATCAGAGATATAGAAAATTCAAAAATAAGGTAGAGGTTCCTTAAAAAAAGGTAAAGAGGGTGTGGTTATAATATATATATATTTTTTATTTTTTTTAAATTTAAACCCTGATGGGTAGCTCTGCAAGGTATGTCTTAACATATTTTTCCTTAATTTTTTTTCTTCTTTCAGTAAGAAGGATAAGCTTTTAGAGTACCCAGTCACCGTGGTAACTGCCAAAAAAATTCTCCTGAAGTTTGAAGAGGTCAGCAAACAGGGTCAACAACTCTGGCCTCTCTCTGAGCTCTGTCTAGCATGCCCCAGCCTGCAGTTGGTGTGTCAGGCTAGATCTGACCCTGGGAGGTGGACTGTTCCAGCTCTGATATAAATTTTTTGAGTCAGTTCATGGCCTGGACTCTCCAGGTGGCCTCCAAAATCGATTTTGACCCTCTGACCCTGTCTCACGGAGGCATCGCATCCACCCTAAGTAAGGATTTAGCCAGGAATGACAGCTTTCCACTGAGTGTTATTGGGGACAGTATAAACAATTTGGAAAGCAAGTAAGAAGGTGTGAGTGCTAGAAGTCTTTAAAAGCACATTAAAAGTAGTTTATAAAAAATTAGAAATGTATATTTGCTATAGAAGTCTTATGTAATTTTGTAGGATTTTTATCATTAAAGACAGGTTGACTAGAAATACTCAATGAACCACAGACTCTATTATATATGTTTGCATTCTTTCATATACTTTGTTTTAAATATGCAAATAAGATAGAGATAGCTGAAACAGAATAGGTATAGTGGGGATATAATAAGTATAGGGGGAAAAGCGTCATTAAAATACAATAGTAGAGAGTTTCTGTCATTTTAAATACTAAATGTTGAATCTTAAGATGTCTAAAGTGGGAAAATAAGGAAACTGAGAAAAAAAAGCACAACCATGTGGAATGAAGATTAACTGGCACTATAGTAGGAGTATAATGCTACTTTGTAAAACAAATAGCCAATAGAATCATTTGGATACAAAGAAGATAAAAATTGTAAATATGGAAAGTAAGATCTTGTAGAACCAAAGAGAAAAAACAAATTTTGCTTTTGAATAATATGATGTATTTTGGCAAAAGCTTGGGAACTTAGAAAATAGCATATACATCACCAGTGATTCTTTTTTCTTCTTCTTTTTTTCAGGATGCTACCATGAAATTTTTATTTTCTCTGGCAAAACAGAGTTCTTTCTGAGAGTTCAACTGTGGACTCAGTATGTAAATGTGGTCATCAAGCAAGACGGAACTGCCAGAAGGGAAGATTGTGAAAGTTTCTCTTTAAAAAAAAAAAAAATTCCTTTACAGCATTCCTTCTTTCTCTGGTACTTTACTCTTTCGCCTTTTTCCAGCACTGTTGAAAATGACTGCAAAGCAACATTGTGGGAATACAGCCAATTGCCCTTTGTAGTTGTTGAGGTGGTGTTTCATCTGAGTCATTTGTAAAAAGTAGATTTTGAGCAGGGGTGAGAGTCATTTTGGAAGAGGGGTGAGGGAGAGTTTGAAGAAGGGAATAAGGGGGAGGGAACCAAGCAGTTTATACACATCTATACTCTTTGTGTTTGAAGGCCTCTCAGTCTTGGCTTCTCACTATGTTAAATCCCTATTATAAAACTTATCTTCACAAAGCCTATTATGGTATTCTGAGAACAAATTGGACCATGAATAACTTAGTTGGAAGTGTAGATTATTTTCTACTCAGGGAAAGTTAGAGATGACAACAGCTTAACTAAAGAATAGTGATTAATCTTAAATAGATGGATTTCAAAGTTTCACTTTTGATAAAGAGTACCTTTGATATTTCCTCTCTTTAGACTCAAGTTTCCACTTTCTTTGTGTTAAGAAATTGTTCTAGTGATTGCCCTGTCCACCCAATGTAGCATGGCTCTAACAGGCCATTTGCATACAAGTTGTTAATATGCCTAAAAGCTGACCAGAGACACTCTATTTCCTGTTAGTTAAGGACATTGTTCCAAAGTGATGTCTGTGCACAGACATCAAACCCACTGTCAGGAATGATATCTTGCATACATGAAAATTGCTCAATTACACAACATTTATCATTGAAGAACATCTTACATTTGTTTAATGTCCTAGAACTTACAAAGAACTTCTTGGTTTATAATCCTTGTTTGATCTTTATTATTTTGTAAAGGATTTATTTTTATTTATTTATGCGTAAAAGAACAGGGGTGCAGGCCAGAGGTGTGGGGAGTGGTGAAAGGATTCACTAGAAAACAAGAATTGGGAGCAGAACAGGCCAATTGAAATGCACTGCTGAGGGGAGCAGCAGGCAAGACAGGAGAGGTCTGCTGCTCCATATCTGGGTTAGCATCCTGGCCAGGGATGGAACTTGTGCTGCAGTGTCTGTGGATAACTTCATAGTGCTGACACTTAACCCTTTGCACCACCAGGGAGGCCCCTTGTTTGATCTTTAGAATAATATTACCAAGGAAGCAACTATTAATATCCTATTTTACCAAGAAGGAAACTGAATCATTGGCACACTGTGACTCAGCCGATAAATAGAAGACCTAGGATATTAGCTGAGATTTTTATAGTTTCTATTTTAAGTGATTAGCCTACAGCAATAGACTTTTTGATTATTGTGTGTGTGTGTGTGTATGTGTTCTATATCCCCAACAATTAAGATTTCATATTAAAGAAACAAGTGTTGATATTTCATAGATAAAAAAGTTAAAAGGCATGATTGACAGATGTTACCAGAAGAGGAGGATGGAGATAGAGAGCAAAGGGATGTGCAATAGCCTATGGTAGAAGAGTATTGAGGTTTCTGTGGTAACATACATCTGTATGAAACTATATTCCTAAAACATACTGTTATGAACCAATGTTACCTCAATAAACATAATAAAACAGATTAAATGAAACTTATTTTAAAGGTAAGAGATGATTATAAAATATTTTGTTTAAAAATGAATTTTATAAATTGTTGTTTTTCTTTGTGTGTGTGTGTATATATATATATATATATATATATATATATATATTTCCATGGTCTTTCAAATTCAGAGGTCTGAATCTCTAAAAGTAGCTCTCCATAAACTGAATAAATAACTGAATATTTTTTTTTTTTTAAGATTTATTTATTCATACAGAACTGGGGTACAGGGCAGAGATGCGGAGGGTGAGAGGATTCACCAGAGACAGAGTGGGGAGCAGAACAGGCAGATCGACGAAGTACACTGCTGAGGGGAGCAGCGGGCGGGTCAGGAGAGGTCTGCCACGCCATGTGGTCACCTCCGGGGCAGGCGGGAATCGAACTCATGCGGAAGCGGCTTTAGATTCTCAGTGCTGTGCTCCAGCCCGCTGCGCCACCAGGGAGGGCCAATAACTGAATATTTTTTAAGTTTAATTTTTCTTTATTTATGCATACAAGAAGTGGGCTATAGGCTAGAGGTACTGGAACAAATGCGGGTAGAGGTGAGAGAATTCACCAGAGATAGAGTGGGGAGCAGAAGAGGCAGATCTACTAAATACACTGGTGAGGGGAGCAGCAGGTGAGACAGGACAGCCTGCTGTAACATGTGGGTCAGCTCCCTACCCAGAAATGTAACTTATGCCATAGTGGCGTGATAGCTTGATAGAGATGAGATTTTAACCCCTGCCACCAGGGATTAAAACTACTTGAAAAAATTTTTTAAATAATATAATAATTTATTTTTACATCATTTTGTGCCTTTTTTCCACCTCAGTTGTAATCCCCATGGGCTTCCCATCACCAAATCACCCGTGTGCCATCACTATAGCCCAGTGTATTTCTCAACCCCCTCTGTTTTTTGATCCCATTCCCCACTCCACCCCATAAAATGTCTGTGGTATATAGCTGTTCATTATTATTGTTATTTTCTCGCCTGATCCGTTATACTCCTGCTATCAGTGAAACCATCCAGTATTTTTCCTTTTCTTTCTGGCTCATTTCACTAAGCATGATCTTTTCCAGCTCCATCCATGTTGCTGCAAAAGGTATGTGTTTATTTTTTCATTTGCTGGGTAATAATCCATTGTGTATATGTACCACATCTTTTTAATCCAGTCATCCACTTTTGGGCATTTGGGTTGTTCCCATGTCTTTCCAATTGTAAATAAAGCAGCAATAAACATGGGGGTGCAGTTATCTTTTTGAATCAGTGCTTTTGTGTCTTTTGGGTAGATATCTAGGAGTGGGATTAGTGGGTCATATGGAAGCTCCATGTTTAGCAGTCTGAGGAACCTCCAAACAGTTTTCCATAGTGGTTGTACTAGTTTGCATTCCCACCAACAAAAACTACTTGAATTTTTAAGATGTACATGAAAGCCACAATAACAAGCCTTTAGAAGCATGTTCTGCATTTATTATTTATGAGAAGGCCATGGAGTAAGTTCTAGAGTGTTACATTACTTCTTGTGGGTTTTTCAACTTTATTGAAGTAATTTATTAACAAAATTGTAAAATGCTTTAAATGTACTACTTGATGATTTGATACATGTACACTTTGTGAAAGCATTCCTTCTATCTAGTTAATGAACACATTTATCACCTCACATTGCTATCTTTTTGTATGAGAACTGTAAGTTCTACTGTCTTTACAAATTTCTTTTATTCATACAGTATTATCCTTTGTAGGTAAAATGTTATTCATTAGCTCCACGACCTTATTCAACTTAGAGAAAACTTTGTAATCTTTTGTGAAATACAAAAAGATAACACTCTGTGATTCTTCTTAGCTTTTTCATTAGACAGTATTTTAATCATGTAATATAGACAATATGGTTGTTATATAGATATTCTATTTTTTCTTAAGTTGTATATAGTTAATCATTTTATAGATGCTTAAATGAAGGATTTTGTCCTTGAGCTACCCTGGTAGCTCAAACTTAAGACATTTAGGATTAGAAAACAATGAAAAAATGTCCAAAAAGGAAAAGCAACTATTCTGGTTGGGTATTATATTTGTGCAGTAGTATCAAAAATGATATATAATCTTTTCTGTACTGAGGGCTTTTAAAATTAATTTTAAATTATTTTACTGAGGATTGCTCATTCACTTGATGATAAGAGCTCAAGTCACCAAATTCAAAGTTCTAGTATCTTCTTTCTTAAGTGTTTTTCATAATTTATTAAAAGTAAGGATCATATTACACATTTGCTTAGATGATTTTGAAAGATTACTAACCTTTTCATTTTGTTCCTGTGTATTGTTTTAAAGATTTATTTTATTCATTTATACATACAAGAAGTGCTGTCTAAATCAGAGGTGGGTGAGGTGGGGGTGGGGGTGGGAATGAGAGGATTCAACAGATATTTGGGAGCAGACCAGGCAGATCTACTGAAATGGACTGCTGAGGGTTGCAGTGGGTGAGACAGGAGAGGTCTGCTATACCGTGTGGGTCACCTCCCTGGCTAGTGATTGAACTCTTGCTTCAGTGGCTACCAACAACTTGATATCACTGAGACTCAACCCCTGTGATACCAGGGACTCCCCCTTGTATTTTCAATAGCTGCCGATATAAAAAAACTTTTCTTCAGAGCAGAAGAACAATTAAAGCGCAACACTATGAAGCTCTCAGCAGCCGCTGCAGTATGAGTTCCATCCCTGGCCAGGGAGGTGACACACATGGTGTGGCAGACTCTCAGCAGTGTAATTCAGTCTGTCTCCCTGTTCTGCAACTCACTCTGTCTCTGGGGAAATCTTTCACACACACACACACACACACACACACACACCTCTGACCTGTACCCCAGTTCTTATATGCATAAATAAGTAAGTCTTTAAAATTTTTTTCTTCCCTCCTATCTGTCTTCCTTTTCTTTCCTTCTTTCCTTTCTCTTTCCTCTCGTCTTTTCTGTCTTCCACTCCCTCCTTCCCTCTCTTTCCTTCGTCGTTTCCTCCCTCCCTCCTCACTTTTCAGGTAATTTTGTTTACATAGTAGAATCTTTTCATAAATTTGGAAAGGGGTTATATAATGCTGTGAATCATGCTTAACTGATTTACCTCATAAGAAAACACTCACTTCAGTTAAACTCATAACAAGTCAGAGAATCCTCAAGTGTAACATCAAGACTTGTCTAACAACTAAAAACCAGTTCTGAGGGATCAACTTTTATGGTTCTAGATTTTGCCATTTTCTCTCTTGCTATCATTATAGTATCCCCAAGTCATATAAACTATTGCTTAAATTTCATGTAAACATTTCACACTGCAATAAAAAGGAGGAAGAGGAGAAAGTGGTGGTGGTGGAGAAGGAAGAGATGGAAAAGAAAAGCCCCTTTAAAGTTTATTTTTATGTAAATTTTATGAGAATGAATCTTTTAGCCTAAGAGAAGAATAAAATCATTTTTTTACAATTCTGCCATTCAAAAATTCTACATTAATAGTAATGCAAAACAAAGTTTAGAATTTTATTAAAATATATTTAAAAGCCTATAGAGTATCTTATAACCAGAAGTATCACAACCTTAGAATCTTTAATAAAAAGATATTAAAAGGAAAAGAAGTGGGGAAATTAAAGCTCACTAAACACATTCTATTAATCAGTATTATCCTGTAACAAATTAATGCCAATGTTTTTGGTGAAGTAAAACATAAGGATTCAAGAATAGAATATTTTTTTAAGTGTCAGTCTTCCTACCAGAAAATGTGAAGTCAAGTGGACACTACATCCAAATCTCAAGCTAAGAAATACAGGCCCAAGTAATGTTTTATAGAGCAAATTGGTAGAAATTTATTGACACCAAATTAAAATGAAATGTGGAGCAAATAATGTAGATGGATACAAGGGCTAAAGAAACACTCATTCTTATCTGTACCTGATTAGTCAGGTTGATAAAGCACTGGTTAATTGTCTAGAACCATACATTTAATTTGTTCCACTACATAGCCTCAAACTATAACCCTGCCCTAGCAGAAGTCTTTTGCTTCTAAGTTCAGTCAGTAATCAAAACCTTTGCATGCTCATAGGGGACAGGGCACTACATAGGAGCTGTTGAAAGAAAAAGGTGTTACAATTGAAAGGAAATGGTGTCAGACCTCCTGCTCTCAAAGATATGAACAATATTCATATTTGAGACCACCAATGTAAATTATTGATGTTGCTTTCAGTCCTTCAATGGAAGACCACTTGCTTGTAAATCTTTGCCTTTACTGTAGTTATGTAAGAGAGCCACCTGATTTTGAATCTGCAAG